AGCTAAGAATCGTTCCACATTGAAGGGGTCTTCCACGATCAGGCACATAACCAAGGCACCCGGGTTAGCCACGCCATCTCTGACGGGTCTCTCTACAAAAAAACCGGCGACGACGTCATCATACAAAATCAACACGGAGAGTCAGAAAAAAAACGAAAAAAAAATGGCAACACAGATAGAAATGTTTGTCCGTGCGCCACGGGTCGATGTCGCCCGCATGTTCCGGTGCCTCCATCCGGCGCCTCCATCCGGCGCCGCTGTAGTCAGCCCGAGCAAAACGCCACTCGACCTGCTCCGTCCGTACACGCTCCCGTTGCTGTCCTTCCCAGTCGGTTCCTCGCTTTCTCCCTCGTTGCACTCAAGGTTCTTGGTCTGAAAAATAAAAATTCTCGCGCCGAAGGGGTCAACCAGCCCAGTTCAGCTCGTCGCCACCTGCTCCCTCCTCCTTTGATGGCGAAGCCAGGTTACTGAGGCAATNGCTCTCGTTGCTGTCCTTCCCAGTCGGTTCCTCGCTTTCTCCCTCGTCGCACTTAGGGTTCTCGATCTGAAGATTCTCGCGCCGAAGGGTCAACCAGCCCAATGAGCTCGCCACCACCTGTCCCCTCCTCCTTTGATGGCAAAACCAGGTTACTGAGACAGTACAGCTCCCTCAAACAAACCTAGCGCCGTGTACATAGTGCCCGTCCACCTTTCTGATGACGTCTGCCTCCACGCACAAAGATGAGATGGGCATTGCTGCCTACACCGACGGCCTGGAGGCCGGCGCATCTGCACCTTTGCACCTGACGCACCAGTGCCGACCCAACTCCACCACTACGCACGCCTCGCGGCGGGTGCGCCGCAGCAAGAAGGTATCGGTCCCCTGAGGGTGAGTCTAGCCCTGCTCGCTAGGAAGACTCCCCCCCTCGCTATGGGTCATGCCTATACGCAAAACCTTGCCGAGGCAGCGAGGGGAAGGAAGGGTATGGGCCGTAGCCAAAGGACTGCGCGGGCTCATGGGCGTGTGTGAGAGCGTGAGAGGTCGCACTACTTTCTACGAACCCAACGACCCTGCGACGTGCGCACGACCGACCCTGTTGCTGTTCGCAAAAGCTCTGTTGCTGTTCGACAAAGTCGACATCGAATGAAATGTTTCTTCAGTGTTTTTGGTATCGAGTTTCAGCGTAGGAAGATTCAGTGGGGTCTACATCCAAATGTTATGTTTCGGCACCCTCCATCCAGTACCGGTCGCCCCGGAGTAATCCGCTAGTTGCCCCGGTCGCCCCGGTGGTTTAATGGTATCCTCGTGATCCGCTAGTCGCAGAGGTCGTGAGTTCGAATCCCCATGGGGTGAAAAATCTACGAAATTCGCGGGTGAAAGCGGAACATAGCTGACAAGCTCTCGTGAGTACCAAACTTCGACGTTGTTAGTAGCACCGTTGACGAGGGAAAGGGACCGCTGGATGGACCCTTCTTCTCGCGATAAAAATAAAATTCAGCACGCACCGCTGGAGGAAAGTGGGGCATGAAAAGAAATAACAAGAAGAAAAAAGCCCTGGTGTTTACCCCCTCCTGTGTGACCCTGGATGGTTGTAGTTGTAGGAAAAAATACACTGAAGAAAAGTGTAGTACTCCACTACTACATATTCGCTGAAAGGTGTAGTACACGTCTCACCACGAAAAATGGGGGGACTGTCCGTCGCCATAATAAATAGGACGAAAACACACACACAGAAGTGTTTTGTGTTTTCAACCGCACTAAGACTGACGTCTTTTCATTGGTCAGCCGGTTAGCGCGGTCGATGCTAATAATAAAAACACACACACACACACACACACGATATATTCCAGCATCAAAGCTGCGGGAGATAGTATAAAAACGCACAGGATAGACTCCGTCGCCGAAGCTGATGAACCATTCGAAATCAAGTTCATCAAGCAGACGGTGAAGAAAGCCAACCCTCAGACAGAGTGCTTCGGGGCCTGATGGTCTTCGTTTTTCGTATCTCCAAGCTGGTGGGATGAGTGCTTCTTTAACTGAAACCTTGGCGGACTTCAGCTTTTAAGTCTTCTACTACGGAGACGAGCTTCCGAATTTCTTGTGGAACCTCCAAACCAGTGCCAACCTTTCAGCGCTGGGAGAGAAAAAACGGCCGATTGCAGTTGGAGGGGTTTTGCGTCGCATCATCAGCGGCAGCTTCTGCCGCCAGTACAAGGGAGGAATTGCGAACATCTTCGAAGCAGCAAATCAGTTCGGAGGTGGTGTTCCAGGAGGAGTTGAGATAGTGGCTTCCACAGCAGCCCTCAGCCACCAGCAAGGCAGCACCATTCTCTCCTTTGATGGGAAAAACGCTTACAACAGCATGCGCAGATCTTCCATCTTGCCAGCAGTGGCCACTCATACGCCACACTTGGTGAAGTACTTCGGGAACATCTATCTACGCTCGAACCAAGGCGAAACTTCTGTTCAAAATGGAAGATGATTCGATCGAGGTTGTTCTTTCACAGCGCGGAGTTCAACAAGGCTGCAATTTGGGAGGGTTCGGCTTCTGTGTAGGGCTCCTTGATATCACGAAAGAGTCCAACAACAAGCCACCAGTGCCAGGAGTCAAACTCATCGGATACGTCGACGACCTCCAAGCACATCTTCCACCAGGTTTGGCGAGGAACATGCAGGCCATCTCCACTGTAACGAATTGGATTCAGGAACGTCTCTCCCAAAGAGGGATTGAGCTCAGTCTCCCGAAATCCAAAGTGCTTTTCCCGGAAGGTCNGCTCCTTGATATCACGAAAGAGTCCAACAACAAGCCACCAGTGCCAGGAGTCAAACTCATCGGATACGTCGACGACCTCCAAGCACATCTTCCACCAGGTTTGGC